CATTTCTGACAAAGGGTCTAGGCCCGAAACGTCAGCCTTCCTGCTCCTATGATGCTGCTTGGCCTGCTGTGTTCATCCAGCTCTACACCTTGTTATCTCAAATGTTTGAATAGACATTGTTTTGGATTACATTCTGTTTTTGTTTGTATCCTGCCAAGGGGATTAATATAATCTATTGTACTTGTCAGAGCAAATTTGTCTGAATCAATCTAATATGTGCCAATATCCTGATTAGAATCCCAGTCTATTTTCCTTGTTTCCATGTTTTAAAGTTGAATACTTGCATTGGAAAGTTTCAGTTTGACCAGATCATTACAAGCTCAAATTCAGATAGATAGGGTGTGATATAAATATCGAGGTGGGTGGAAATTTGTGTAAACTGTTGATCTCTGAGACTTACAATAACATTGAACTGGCCATGACATGCAATAAAAGCTCAGCTAGAAATGTAGCTTAGCTGCAAGCTTGTCTGTTACTGTCGATCATCCTTTCAAGTGGAACTCTTTGTGAGACAGCTATAGAATGCTACTATATCAATCAGAGAAATCTATAGAACAGAAAGAGGCCATTCTACCCACTGTTACTGTGTTGGCTCTTTGGGCGAACTCTCCAATTCATTCCACTGCCATACTCTTAATATTTATCTCTTATTTTAAGGAATATTTGTGGTGTGAATTGAAAATTAGATTCCCATAGAAATGAGAAGGTAATAATAAACGAAGAACAGGAAATGAGGAAGATTTTAGAGGGACTTATCTGCTGTTCATAGAATCATAGTATCCCAACAGACTGGAAGACCTGCAGGCCATTTGGCCTATTGAATCCATACCAACCTTCAGAACAGCATCCCACCCAGACCCACCCGCCTCACCTTATTACCCTGTATCTCCAATGACTAATCCACCTGACCTGCACAATCCCTGGACACTATGGGACAATTTAGCATGGCCAATCCACCTAGCCTGCACATCTTTGGACTGTGGGAGGAAACCGGAGCACCCGGAGGAAACCCACGCGAACAGGGGGAGAATGTACAAACTTCACACAGACAGTTGCCCAAAGGTGGAATCAAACCTGGGTCCCTGGTACTGTGAGGCAGCAGTGCTAACCACTGAGCTACTGAGCCGCCCCTTCATTTTCATCAATAGTTTAGGAATGTGCACATACAGTATAGATCTTTCTGACGGTGAATGATGTGATCAAGTACAAATACTACACTGCGTATCATCATGTAAAGAGATCTGGTTTAGAGATTTAGATAGATCTAGCCCAACATCTGGAGATAAGTGTAGAGGAATTAAACAGAAATGGGTAACACCGATACCAGGACAGGGATAACATTAACAAAGAAAAGAGAACTATATCACATTAGAACATGGCTATCAATGTTTACTGACAAATTATTAGTCAGTAAAAATGTGATTACAATCAGAACACTAACTGCATTCATCCCACACCTACAACTTCAAGTTGAAAGGAAACATTATTTAAGTCTTTTAGGTAACTTTTGGAATGCTATGTGGGGGCTTGAGCATGTCGCTTTTGGAACGTAATGAAAAGGCTAAAGAACAGAATATCAAAGAAATTATAAAGGCAGTGCCATCAAGCTGTTTTTTTATTAATGGAAAAACATTTTGAAGGAAGATTGGTTCATGTTTTGAAAATGTTGCAGATCTGCCTCACTGTTGTAGAACTGAAAGACAGAAATATGTTTAATCAGCCAGAAATGTGGTTTAATTATTTGTTTTTAATGCTCATTATGGACTCAGTGTAAAATCAATTAAAATTAACAAACTTAACTTTACCTTTTCGAAAGGATAAAAGTGGATGACTATCAATTAGGAAAGAGATTTTCAAAGGTCAAGTACAGGTGGAGCTGGTTACAACACTTTATAAAACACTGGGTGCTGGGATACGATACTTTGAACAATAACCGTCTCCTGTGTGGAATGTCAGAGGGTCTAGGCCCGAAACGTCAGCTTTCCTGCTCCTCTGATGCTGCTTGGCCTGCTGTGTTCATCCAGCTCTACACCTTGTTATCTCAGATTCTCCAGCATCTGCAGTTCCTACTATCTCTGGGAAGACCCATGATAGTTTGAGGGGCTGTGGGGAGAGAGACTTAATTACTCAAATGACTTTGTCTGGTTCTATCCTCTTGTGTTCTTATCACGAAGTGACCGTGGAGCCTGTATTTCTGTGCTGTTCATCAATACATATTCAATGCAACGAGAAGATATTGACTCACATTTCAGCTGATTAGCTTCTGAATTTGACGGTGCCTAACACCTAGGGTCAGAATCAGGGTTAATATATCACCAAGTCAATGAAGCAATACAGGAGCTATTTTCATGCATTGTGTATAATAGGTACTTTCAACATTGCAATTCAGAAGCATATGCAATGCTACAGCCAGGAAGAGTTCAGATATTGAAGGTTTAATGTTTTTTCATTGATGAGATGTGGGCATTGCTAACTGGGCCAGCATTTAGTGTCTGTTTCTAATTGCCTCAGAGGGCAGTTAAAAGTCAACCACATTTCTGTGGGTCTGGAGTCAGATGTAGGCCAAACCAGTAAAGATGGCAAATTTTCATCTCTAAGGGATGTTAATGAAGTGTCTGGATTTTATAAAATATTGTTTAACCCACCCTGGTTGTATTGTACAGCTATGGCTTGGAGATTAAGGGGTTCATTTCAGGGGGCCACAATCTCAGGATAGAAAGCAAATACAGAGAATGCTGGAGAAACTCAGTAGGTCCAGCAGCATCTGTGAAGAGAGAAACAGAGTTAACTTTGTGAGTCTGGTATGTGTTTTCTTCAGAACTTGAAGCAACTACCTGCTGCGTTTCTCCAGCATTCTCTGTTTTTTTTTTAGATTTCCATCATCTACAGTATTATGCATTTATCTCACGATGCAAAGCTTTAACTGATCCATTCAGTTCTGAATTAATTTGACTCTAAAGATTAGACCAACTTGATGTAGTGGTTTCTTAAAGATCCCCAGCTGTGGCCAGCTGATTGGGATTGTCCAATCCTGGATTTGATCTAAAAAGATAACCTTGCATAGAAGCAAAATCTCCTCCATCAAAAGGGCAGAACCTGCCAGACCTCACTTTGATCATTCTTTTTCCAGACGTACCAGAAGACAAGACATCAGGAATGGTGACCCTCTCACCCAGTGTTCTGATCAACATCACAACGGTAAGCTCATGATGACTCTTTTGATTTAGATTGAACATTCTAACATTTCTGAACAATTCTTCTATCAAATGATGTGCTTTACATTTACAATTCAGACGGATGAAGCATAGATAAATAATTTGTTTCCATTTTTGATGAAATATTGGTGAAACATTGCAGAATCCTAAGTATCAGTTTTAAGTTGGAAGTCAGAGGTTAAAGCTGCACCAAAACACAGAGATGGTCAAAAACTGTGTCTTATCTAATCTGTGAAGGATTCAATATCTTCCCTTCTCTCTCTGACCCTCTATTGTCTATTCCTGAAAACACTTAACCCAAATTTCCTGTTCCTTTTCATCTGACTTTCAGAGTAGATAGTATTCCCTTTAGCTTTCTCAAATGCTAAAGCAATCAAGCACTGTGCTAGGATCTGTGATCAAACACATCTAGTCAAATACTGCATATGATTTATAACCTTATTGACTTTATAACTTGGTTAACATGGGAGCACTTCTTATTTCATAGTGAAATATTACCTATGCGTAGAAGTGTTCGGAATTTACTTTTTGGATCCAATTTGCCCAGTGTAGCAGGATTAAGGCCAATGGTCAATTTATTCAGGTCACCGCTAATTTGATCAAGACTATTTTTATAAGTGATCTTGCTGACTGCCTATACTGAGTATGTTACACATTGGTGACACTGTTCTTGCAGTAATGGTAGACCTGAGCACCTGAATCTGTTTCCTACTGTCAGAGCTGGTGATGTCTAAACTCTACATAACTAGGCACATAACCACTTGAAAAAACACTCTAAAGTAAGTCAAATTATGTTCCTTGCAGAATTAGAAGGAGTGAAAGCCTTCACCTGTCTTAAAAAACAACCACTCTCCACTACCCCTCTCCCAGTCCTCCATCTCTCCTGCAGCAACTTCACCTCATTATGATTCTCTGCTGAAACTGTTTTAAAATGCCTGATTAGTAACTTCTTCATCAATCCCATCTATTTTGTCAAAGGATTGTTTAAAAATTCATTCCACATCACTGGCTAGGCCAACACTTATTACCCAGAGTGCTGTTAAGAGTCAACCACTTTGTTATGGGTCTGGAGTCACATATAGTTCAGACCAGGCAAGGATGGCAGAGTCCATCCCTAAATGACGAGTGAACAATTGACAAAAAAACACTCTAATTTGCAGAGATAGTAGGAACTGCAGATGCTGGAGAATCTGAGATAATAAGTTGCAGAGCTGGATGAACACAGCAGGCCAAGCAGCATCATAGAAGCAGTAAGGCTGACGTTTTGGGCCGAGACCCTTCATCAGAAATCTGATGAAGGGTCTAGGCCTGAAACGTCACTCTAATTTGCAGATTTTTATTGAATTTCACTCCAGGATTTGAACCAGAACATTACCTGGGTCTCTGGTTTAACAGCCCAGTGATAACACCACTAAGCCGTCAGCTCCCCTCCTGTCTGACTTACCTTCTAAGCCTAAATTTTTAATTTCTCCTTGACTCTCTCGCTTTCATGGGAAATGTGCATAATGTGCCTGAATTAAATTAGTTGTTGCCCTTAATCTTTGACAACTATTGGATCACCTCAAATCTTCCTTTTTTTCAAAGGCTACAAGACCTATTTAACCTGATCTTCTAACTCCAGTATGTGATCCCTGGTGTCATTCCAATTGCTGCAGTCTGTGGATCCTCATATGTTTCCTACAAAGTGTGACCACAACTGCACATGTTACATGTTACACTGTGGAGAGAGAAACAGAGTTAATGTTTTGAGTCCAGTGGCACTTCAGAAGGCTCTGATTAAGGGTCACTGGACCTGAAAAGTTAACTCTGTTTCCTTCTCATTGATGCTGCCAGTCCTGCTGAGTTTCTCCAGTTATTTCTGATTTGCCATATCAAGGCTTTTGTTTAAAAGAGTGCAATTTATCAACACGAATAATGGCTTTAGGAAGTAAATAAATTCCTTCCTCCTCTGTGGGAACAGTGCCAGTGATCTCATTACAATTAATAAAGAAATGACTGAGCATTTGCTGAGAAGTATTTCTTGTGTTGTTGCCAAGTTGTGACTGAGCACCGCAACACCAGTTTCATCTTTAGACTTTAATGTCTCCAATGGTAACCAATCATCCCTCTCCCAACTTCAGAAATATTTCACCTGTACCATAGGGTGTGGGTCAATTTCATTCTGTGTCTACATTTAATATGGTGCTGCTTGGAAACAACTTCCCTTCACATCGTAACAATTGAAAAGTGGTAAATTAAGAATTACCAGAGAGAAGTAAAATGGAAATGGAGACGTGAGAGATGCATCATTGTGGAGTAATATTAGTCCATTCACTTCAATCTTATCCTTGAACATGTTGATAGCTGGCAGATCACTAAATGCTGGTTTCAGTAACTACAGTTGGTTGTTCACTAACTTTCACTGCAGCCAACTCTGCTTGGGACTTTGAATTCGTCACCAACATTCCACAAACGTTGCTAAAAAAAATCCCAAAATATCTCAAGATAGACCCTGTAAGTTGCTTGCTCCAGTATAAAGTGCGTGGTTGTTTCAGTCTAGAGAAACTGTAAAAGAAGTGATAACAGAGCTTCCCTAACAACTCCAGACTGTGATTATCATTCAGAAGCTAAATGTTGGGCACTGCTGCCCTCTGGTGGAAAACTCTGAACAGAGCTTTTCTTAGGTGCTTCAAGTCCTACCCTGCTGGAACTTTTCCATTTATAAACTTTGCACTTGTACTGAAAGTCGTCGACATCGTCAGTCACTTGCTGATGAGTCTGATTATCCACCTAGGAAAGTCAGTGTCACTGGTCCTGAATTCTGTCGGCCCTTATATGGCTGATGAGCCTAACCCTGGAGTTGTATCTCCCATCGCACATGTGGTATGTCCACCCGTTCATAGACTTGATGCCAAATGAATCAATCCTGTCCAATGCAAAATGTGTTTATAGAAAATTAAATGTTTACAAAGCTACATACTGTAGGGATTCTATAAAAAGAAACTAAAGATGTTAAATCCTTTGTAGCATTACATAACAGTCATTTGCATATCACACAAAGGGTGAGATGGTGTTTGCAATATTTGTACACAAAGTTAAATATTTTTGCAGATGTTTGAATTTTGGATAGCCGGAATGTTGACACAGTTTAAACAATACACAAAGCAATTAAGTCTGAATCTGTTTAGAAATTAGCATTATGGGGTGTAGATTTCAAACACTACTTTCTGGTATTTCTTCTGCATTATAGAAAGCTGAAGGCTTTCGCTGTCTATAGTGGAGTTTTGTCCAAGCACAAAAACAATTTTACTGCAGTGAGACATTTATAATTAGTTTAGTAATGTCAGGGTTTTAGCTGATGGATGATTTATTCAATAACTATGAACTAAACCACAGACCTTCCCAAAGATGTTTTATTGTAATATGTTGTCTTTATTGGTATTGAATATGGAATTATCCTGGTGCAGGGACAGATAGCAACACTTTCCTGGAAATCAAGAAATTTAACATTGCGTCATACTTACTGACTGTATAGAAACTGTCAATAATTCCTCAGTAATACTGGCTTCTATTATGTACTCACATTCATTGGAATGGTAGGTGCGGTCAACCCTTCAGATCCCTTTTTGATAGGTTCTTATTGTGTACAGTGCTAGCTTCAGATTGCAGTGCTGGAAGATAGTTTATCATAATCTGTCTCCAGAATGCAGCAAAAGTTTGAATAGTAATCTATAAGCACCAAGTATTCTTCATGAATAACGATAATAAGCCCTTAAACCTCTCTCAATCTGTGCAGGATAAGATGGGTTTCATATTCCTATTACAGAACCATATGAAGGAGTTAGAACTGGCTTCATAATCCTTCCTCCTCTCTATATTCCATGTAATGGGTAACACAATACTGTCTGGCTGATACCTTAATCCCTCTTTCAACCCTTGTTCTCTGTTCTTTTTTTCTTCTTTAGTACAACTGAAGTTTCAAAACAGCGCCTTAATGGTTTCCAATGAGTTTATGTATTTTTATTTAAACCTCTTGACTTTTATGTGACAAAGCCATATAAGAGTATGTTAAATTTTAGAGTCCCTAAATAATCAGAAGTTTGAAATGTGAGGAATAATTCATCTCCAGTTGTAAATGTGTCTGCAGTCAAGGTGTTGGTTATCCCACTGTTGGTTGCAGTTCAGTAGGTTTCAGGTAGAAATTCATCCCATGAGCTATTGTCAATGGCCTGTTTGACGCATGTCTAATGTTTAATAGAGAATAAAGAAATGACAAAAAAAAGCCAAATGATTACTTTTTATTTGTCTTCCTTGAGGTAGTTGGCAGAGATCCAAATGACTAGAAAGATGAGGAGTTAAAGGAAATTAGGATTAGTGAGGAGTTTGCACTGGAGAAATTAATGGGCTGAAAGTCGATAAATCCCCAGGATTTAATGGTTTACTTCCAAAGTGCTGAGCTAACCAGGCTGAACCAAATTCATGAAACCAGGCCCAGCATGAACTAAAATTAACATCACAAAACAGCTGAAACCATTCATTCAAATCTGACTCTTCTGTGTGATTTGCACCCCTCTGGAAGTTTCAACACAGTAAGATGTAAGACCTGTCTACAGATTAGCCATCTTGAAAAAACAATTAACCCAGCAGAGGAATACACAAATGCACTTTATTTTAGGGAAATGCTTTTGGACAGAGCAGAGAGAAGAATGAAGTAGATTTGAAAGCCTGATCTCTCTCCCTGTTTTTCTCTGAGCCTGTTGAGATACTGGGTGCAGTGAATATTCAAGTTAGAGAAACTTCCATTCACTGAAATGTACATCGCTTTTACAAGTTTCACCATTGCTAGTGAGCAGTGACTTAGGTTAAAGCTAACATCTCAAAGACTCTAAGGACTTTTTAAGCTGCATGTTCTCATTTTCCTTTTTGCACTATACACTCTCCCCTATTAAAACTCTATAGCAAGATAGAAAACACAGGAACAGGAGTAGGCTATTCAGTCCCTTGTGTCTGTTCTGCCATTCAATGAGATCATGGCTGATCTATGGCTTAACTCCATATACCTGTCTTTGGTCCATATCCCTTAATATCTTTGCTTAATGAAACTTTATCAACCTCTCATTTAAAATTAATAACTGATACAGCATCCATAACCATTTATAGAAGTGGGTTCCAAACATCTACCTGTAGAAGTGCTTCCTAACATCTCTCTTAATGGTCTGATCTAATCCTAATTCTCAAACTATGCCCCCTAGTTCTAGAATCCCCACACTGTGGAAATAGTTGATCTTTAACCACGTTGTCTTTTCCTGTTAATACCTTGAAAACGTCAGTCAGATCACCCCTTAACCTCCTAAATTCAAGAGAAAATGCGTCTAATTTGTATAAACTTTCATTGTAATTTAGCCCCTGAAGTCCTGGTGTCATTCTTATAAATTTAAATTGTTCTCCCTCCAAGGCCAATGCCCTATGTCTGTATTGGATTTGATTTGATTTGTTATTGTCACATGTACCAAGATACAGTGAAAAGTATTGCTTTGGGTGCTATCCAGATAAACCATACCTTACATAAATACATCAGGGTAATAGAACAGAATGCAGAATATAGTGTTACAGCTACAGAGAAGGTGCCGAGAAAGATCAACTCTAATATATGAGAGGTCTGTTCATAATTCTGATAACAGCGGGGAAGAAGCATGATTCACATAACCAGGGCAGCTATTGGCAATGGGGTGAAGTCTCAGTTGCCTCACTTCTGAGGAAGGGTCACCTGACTCGAAATGTTAACTCTGATTTCTTTTCACAGTTGCTGCCAGATCTGCTGAGCTTTTCCAGCAACTTCTGCTTTTGCCCCAGTTTCTTGTTAGTTAGGGAGAGGAGATCAGGATCAAACCACTCATTATTTCTCCCAGACTCTGAATGGAGAGAATCCATGTGATCTTCCAATTCATTGGAATTGAGTAACTATCACTTAGTAAATCTCTTCATTAAGATCATGCAAAAACTTGGCTACATTGTTGATATACTGGATAATTGTTTATTCCCATAGAACAGTATCTCAGCAGGAAGGCAGGAAGTGACGGGGTATATATTTTTACCACTCAGAAGATACTTCGATGGCATTTACACAATTTCTCAGGGAGTCTCTTCCGACCCAAGATAGCAGTCATGGATTGGGATCATTTCTGATTCCTCATGCCAGTCCACCCATCAGCTCAGCAGTTGGGAGATCATCCTGGTGTCAGCCACAGAGGAGAAACCTTCTGAACCACCATTGAATTAAGTCCTCAGGGATAATCAGATGCTCCCAGCTTTGGAGGGATTAGTGAGGACACTGTGGGGTGTGGGAAGAGTGGGGAGAGATTGAATGATTTCAGAAAGGGGGATGGTGAGAGGAGAGCCCCCATCTTGAGGTAGCCTCTGACAGCGACTGTGAGGCTACCCCAGTGCGGGGAGGAAAACAGCATTACAGGAAGGTGACCAGCAGCAGCTGTAGCCCAGGGATTCCCGTATAGGGCAGTGTATGGGGAGGTGGGGGTGATTAGTACAGGGTGCTTCCCATCAGCCACTGGGAAACCACCTGCTGGATGTATAAGTCCGTCACCTTTGGGGAATATTCTGTTCGTTGCCATCCCACCTTCAGGACAATAACCAACGGCCAATGCTTCATTCACAAATACCTGACTCTAATCCCATCCTCCACCAATGGAGATAGGGCGATGCCATTCTTCATGAAGTGTTTTTTTCCAATTTACAAAGTTATAGAATCATTCGGCACGGAAACAGACCCTTCAGTCCAACTCAACCATGTTGACCAAGTTTCCCGAACGAAACTAATCCCACTTGCCTGCATTTGGCCCATATCTCTCCAAATCTTTCCAAATGTCTTTTAAATATTATAACTGTACCAGTATCTACCACTTCCTCTGGCAGTTCATTGAAGGTACTCCCAATGCAACTGAATCCACAAGGGGGTGTATGTGAGAGAAATTAAATCTTTCATGTCAATTTGAAGATATCTTATAATTAGTTTATAGAAAATAGCATTCTTAATTTAACTTAGGAACTGAAAGTTTGTGAATGCCTACAGCTCACTGTGATTGCTCTGTATATCAGGACATATGTTTCAGTCTCTAATTTTCTCAATTTGATGGAATGTTTGTTGAATTTTCAAAGGATTGATTTTTTTAATACAATGTTGAAAATGACCTGTTGTCAGTGAATGGGTGGAAATTGAGAATGTTACCAATTTTAACAAGATGTTTATTAATTTCTTCTCTTTAAAGCATTGTAACTGCCCCCTTTCAGAGCCAACAAATTGTGATTTCTGGAGTGACACCTCAAGAGGGAGTTCAGCTTTTACCAGCAATTAAAGTTGTATATCAAAGCCAGAAATCATGCAACACCAGGTTATAGTCCAACAAGTTTATTTGAAATGACAAGCTTTTGGAGTGCTGTTCCTTCATCAGGTGAAGTGGAGAGAAGCACATAGGCCTGTGCTCCGAAAGCTTGTGATCTCAAATAAACCTGTTGGACTATAACCTGGTGTTGTGTGATTTCTGACCTTGTCCACCCCAGTCCAACACCAGCACCTCTACATCATGTATCAAAGGCAGAAAATTGCTGGAGAAACTCAGCAATATCTGTGGAGAGAAAACAAAGTTAATGTTTTGAGTTCAGTGACTCTTCATCACTGGGTTCTATTTTCTCCCAAAAAAAATTTGCTGCCAGAACTGCTGAGTTTCACCATCACTTTCTGTTTTTGTTCCAGATTTCCAGCATCTGCAGTGCTTTATTTTACTTAAGAGCCTCTCATCTAGACCCATCCCCCTACCCTTTCCCCGTAATCCTGCATTTCCCATGGCTAACACACCTAATCTACACATCCCTGAACACGATGGGTAATTTAGCATGGCCAATCCACCTAACCTGTACATCTTTGGACTGTGGGAGGAAACCGGAGCACCTGGAGGAAACACACACAGACACAGGGAGAATGTGCAAACTCCACACGAACAGTTGCCTGAGGCTGGAATTGAACCCAGGTCCCTGGCGCTGTGAGGCAGCAGTGCTAACCACTGAGCCTTTATGATTTTCTGTGTTGATAGGGGTATAATTTTGAAATTCATTGAATGTATATATTCATTTATTACATTAAACTAAATAAATTAGTTTACTGACTTGGCTTAAAACTGTCTTCAGGCTTAGACCTCAAGGTGACACTATTTATTACACTGTAATAGTAAATACTGCTGTATGTGGTCATTTATAGACATATCAGACTCTGACTTATAATTCCATGAGGCAAGGACTAAACTATCTTCTTTCACTGTTCATGTCCATTTGGTTTCAAGAGTTTCTAAAGTTCCAATCTAGTGTAGTCTTGTTTAGTGTTGTCTGCTTTGTAGTTTAGCCTAGTCCTGTGGTCTCTGTCCTAATTCCAATCAAACTGTGCTATTTACACTTAGTGATGTGCAACTCTAAAACATCATCACCAAGTTCCTCCGAGGTCTGATGCTCTTATACAACCGTAACATTTCCTAACTAAGGAAGGATGGACCTGCATTAGAAGTATTGCATTAAATGATCACTCCGTTAATATCTCAGTTCAGGGAGGTATTTCGTGAGCAAACATTGGACAAATTGGGCCTATATCTGTTGGAGTTTAGAAAAATAAAAGGTGATCTCAGTGAAACATATAAGGTCCTGTGAGGAACTGATAAGGTCAACATTCAAGGGATATTTTCCCATTTGGGATAAACAAAAATTAGCAGGGTGGGGTCACTGTTTAAAAGTAAGAGGTCTTCCATTTAAGATTGAGACATAAAAGAAATTCTTTTTCTTCAATTGTCATAAATCTTTGGAATTCCTTTCCCCAGAGAGAAGTGGGAGGTTGGGCAGGGGGCAAGTGAGGAGTAGGGGGGTGAGTGCAGGCACAGGCAGGGTTACTGAGTATTTTTAAGGCAGAGTTGATTCTTGATTAATGACAATGCCAAACATAATTGGGGGGTGTACAGGAAAATGGAGTTGAGGTTGCAATCAGATCAGCCGTGCCTTATTGAATGGCATAGCAGGCTTGAGGGGTTAAATGGCCTCCGGCTGTTCCTGATTCCGTTGCTGCTATGGGACCACAGCATCTCATAAAGACCTACCTAATATGGCAAGAAGTAGCGAGTGATCAATAATGGTCAATGATTGAAGTAATTGAGTCAGGAAACACTGTTAATCCTGCACTATTCAGCCAGTCCTGATATTACTATGGAGTATGATCATCCAACAATGTTTACTGGGTGGATCTATTCTCAGTTTTGCTGATGCCTTCTCTTCCTTCAGACAATTTGCATGAGCATGAGAATATGGAGGAAAAGATTATCTATGGAGTGGAGAACAGTACCACCTTTCTGGAATGTGTCCCGAAATCACAGCGAGCTATAGCATACTGGCAATTTCATAGACAGACTGATGATCATAAAGAAGAGGTAAGACATTGAGCTGTAGGGTTACAATTGTCAGGATTGAGATTAATTATGTGATATTAATACAACTATTTTAACAAAGACATTCATCCTTCAATGTAAACTGATAGAAACGCTGGAGGAGGCCATTCAGTCCCTCAAGCCTTTTCCACCATTCAATGAGATCTTGGCTGATCTGTGGCCTAACTCCAAATGCGTGTCCTTCCCCGTTATCCCTGACTACTTTTTCTTAATAAAATTTTTTCTATCTCTCATTTAAAATTAATAATTGATCCAGCATCAACTGTAGAAGAGAGTTCCAAACATCTGTTACCCTTTGTGTGTAGAAGTACTTCCTAACACCTCTCTTGAACGGTCTGGCCCTAATTCTCAAACTTTGCCCCATAGTTCTAGAATTCCCAAGAGATAGCTTATCATTATTAACCCTGTCTTTTCCTATTAATAGTCATAGAGTTATAGTCATAGAATCACACAGCATGGAAACAGACCCTTTGGTCCAACTAGTCCATACCTTGAAGACTTTGATCAGATCTGCCCTTCACCTTCTAAAGTCTTGAGAAAATGAGCTTAATTTGTATAATCTCTCCTCATAACCCCCGAAGTCCAGATGTCATTTTGGTAAACTTATGTTGTACTCCCTCCAAAGCCAGTCTATCCTTCCTGAGGTGTGGAGCCCACATTCTCTGATATAAAAGAAAACAATTTCCTTGCTAATGCAATTGACACTTTCGCTGTCAATATCTCCAAATCTGATTCAGATGCCACATGTAATTGAGATGTTCACCAATTCCATAACTTACTGTTCCATTACTTCCAAAATCAAGATACAGTGCTATTTAATGCTTCAGCATAATTCATGGAATGTTCCAGAAACAGCCCCTGTCCCAGAGACAGCATGGACAGGATCTTCATCTATTTTTCCTGATCATTGTCTGAAAAGTGACTGAAATCGTGTTATTTCCTCCCTTTAATATGTCACAATTTAGGTTGTATTTTGGGTTCACTAGGGTGTTCCTACAGCCCCAGATTATCCCAACCTTTGTAACTAGAAGAATGAATCAGGGATGTCGATAAGATGGGACACAGAAGGTGACTTTATAAAACACGCTACTTAGAGCCATTAATAAATTGTAAGGGAATGCAAGCTTTTGTATTTTTGGTCAGGAATATTTACGTGTTGAAGGAAAGTGAATTTGGTTCAGCCATTGAGGCTATCAAATTGTAGAGTTTAAAGTAGTTTGTTGTCCATGTTCCTTCTGATTACAGACAGGGTTTCTTCCAAACACTGCCCTATTCTTTTCAATTTTGATGTTGTTTTATCTTCTCCTCTGAGACAATCTGCTGCTCACTTACTTTAATTTCTTTTCAGGAGCAGTTAACTGGGAAATGTTCCATCAAATAAGGGGCTTCACAATTCATAATTCTGTCTGATCCATGCATATAGCAAGTGTTGAGTTAATCCCAGAAGCTTTCATGTTGTTTACAGTTCAATTGGAAAGTGAAAGCCAGAGCTTTCTTGATTCCAATCTGGAAGATGTAGAAGAGAGTTCTCATTTTACTGATTGAGCTATTTAAGCTTTGTATGATAGATACACAACTAAAATAAAGATTATTGCTTAAAATTTAGCTGCCTTTGATTATCTCTAATTATAACGTTTTATGATCTGACAATCTGGCTGTAAAGTGGATTGAAGCATTTGAACCACCATTAATGTCTATTACCATACAGGCTCCTTCTTACCTTGCCCTGCACAGCCCCATTGCTTATCTAGAGGCTCCACTTGGCTCCTTTTAAAGCCTGGTGGTTAAACAAAAATCTGCATTTAGTTCAGGAATTTAGGATGTTGTAAAGAATGGCAGTGTCTTTAGAAATGTATTTTGTTTGAGATAACCAGGGTCTTGCACAGCTTTCAGTGGCATTAATATGGATTAGGCAATGATTTAATGTTATTGGCTGTATGGTCTATACTCACACTATCCAGAGATCATATTCCTCCTCATCTTTATTCAATATTTTACTTTGTGGTTCATCAGCAGGATTTAAACTACACTTGATGAATCAGAATTTACCAGACCCTTTGAGCTTGAACTTAATGGCCAAGGGGCTAAACCATCCCCACCCACCACCACCCTCATCCACTTGGCTGAGCTCATCCTCACCCTCAACAACTTCTTTTTTAACTCCTCTCATTTCTTCAGGTCAGAGGGGTTGCCATGGGTACCCGCATGGGCCGCAGTTATGCCTGTCTCTTTGTGGGGTACGTGGAACATTCCTTGTTCCAATTCTATTCCGGCCCCCACCCACAACTCTTTCTTTGATACATCAATGATATCATCAATGCTGCTTCCCTGTCATCCAGAATTGGAAAAGTTCATTGATTTTGCTTCCAACTTCCACCCCGCCCTCACTTTCACCTGGTCTATCTCTGACTCCTCCCTTCCCTTCCTCGACATCTCTGTTTCCATTTCTGGGAATAGACTGGCCACTAATATTCACTATAAACCCACTGACTCCCACAGCTACCTGGACTATACATTTTTGCACCTTGCTTCCTGTAAAGACTCTATTCCATTCTCCCAGTTCTGTTGATGGTCTGGACCGTGTGCAAGTGTTCAGGGGAAAACCCAGACGTGTACGCCACCACCATCACAGACTTCATCAGTAAAGGTGGGGAGGACCGTGCACCAATGAAGTTAATCCGAGTGTCCCCTAACTGTAAACCTTGGATCAACCAGGAAATCCACTCCCTACTGAAGACCAGTCGTGTAGGATTCAAGCCGGGTGACCCAGACCAATACAGGAAATCCAGATATGACCTCGGCAAAACCATCAGGAAGGCCAAGAGGCAGTACCGGACCAAGTTAGAGGCCCAGCCTTACCAAACAGACACCCGCCATCTATGGCAACATCCAAACGACATTACGGGATACAAAATGAAACAGTGTAAGATAGTGGACAACGACACATCCCTCCCTGACGCACTCAATGTTTGAGCAGAATACCACCAGCGTGGTAACACCTGCCCCGACAGCCCCTGACAGACCAGTTCCCTCTGTCACCGCTTCAGAAATCAGATCCGTCTTCCTGGGAGTCAACCCAAGGAAAACGATGGGCTCGGACAGTGTCCCCTGTCGAGCACTCAGATCCTGTGCGGACCAACTGGCAGAAGTATTCACCAACATCTTCAACATCTCCCTCCTACAAGCTGAAGTCCCCATCCTTCAAGAAGACCACCATCATCCCTATACCCAAGAAAACACATGCAGTGAGCCTTAATGACTACCATCCAATAGCTCTGACTTCAATAATCATGAAGTGCTTCGAGAGGCTGGTCATGGCCCACATCAACTCGTCTCCCAACCTGCCTTGATCCCCTACAGTTTGCCTACCGACATAACAGATCCACAGAGGATGCTTTACCCCTAGCCCTGCACTCATCCCTGGAACATCTGGACAACAAAGACACCTACGTCAGACTCCTGTTTGTTGACTACAGCTCCACCTTCAACACCGTTATCCCCTCCAGACTGATCTCAAAACTGCGTGACCTTGGTCTCGGCTCTACCCTCTGCAACTGGATCCTCAGCTTTCTGACCTATAGGCTGCAATCAGTGAGGATAGGTAACTGCACCTCCTCCACAATAACACTCAGCACTGGAGCCCCCCCAGGGATGCGTCCTCAGCGCCCCACTGTACTCCCTGTGCACCCAAAATTGTGTTGCCAAACTCCGAGCAAACGCCATCTACAGGCTCGCTGATGACATCACGGTAGTAGGACGGATATCTGACAATGATGAGTCAAAATACAGAAGGGAGATAGAGGGCTTGGTGACATGGTGCAATGAAAACAATCTGTCTCTCAACATTGGCAAAACTAAAGAACTGATCATCAACTTACGAAAGGAATGCTCCCATCTACATCAACAGAACTGAGACTGAGAGAGTGAAGAGCATCAAGTTCCTCGGAGAGATGATAACCGACGACCTGTCCTGGACTTTCCACGTAGATGCGACAGTCAAGAAGGCACAACGCCTCTTCTTCCTCAGGCAGCTCAGGAAATTTGTCATGTCCATAAGGTCCCTCACCAACTTCTACAGATGCGCCATTGAAAGCACACTGTCCGGGTGCATAACGGCCTGGTATGGCAACTGCTCTGCCCAGGACCATAAGAAACCACAGAAGGTGGTGTGCACAGCCCAGACCATCATGGAAACCAACCTTCCATTCATGGACTCCATTTACACAGCTCGCTGCCACAGAAAGGCAGCCAAAATCATCAAAGACCCATCTCACCCGGTAATGACCGCCTCCTACAGTCTCTTCCATCAGGCAGAAGATACAGAAGCCTGAACACTCCAGCAGGTTCAGGAACAGCTTCTTTCCAGCCGTTATGAGACTGTTGAATGGACTCTAGCCTCAAATAATGTAACCTGTATGTCCCTAAGTCTTTTTGATCTGTACATCCTTTGCTTGCTGTGATCTGCCCATTCTGCGCATAAATAAAGCTTTTCACTGTATTTCAGTACACATGACAATAAAATAAATCAAAATTGATTGATCAAAAATCAATATGTCCCGATGAGGCCAACTTCGACAAGGGACCCTCCACCTTCTTCCTCAACCGAAGATTCCTCAGCACCATTGTTGACAGGACTCTCAACGAGGCCTGGCCCATCTCCTGCACCTCCACCTTCACCCCTTCTCTTCCCTCCCGCAACAGCGATAGGATTTCCTTTATCCTCACCTAACAGCGTCCACATCCAGAAGATCATCAGACGCCATTTCCGCCACCTCCAGAGAGATGACTCCACCAGACACATATTCCCCTCCTCTCCCTTGTCCGCCTTCTGCAGGGACCGTTCCCTCCAGGATACTCTTCCTTCACTCACAACATCCCCCCACAGTCCAACGGCACCTTTCTCTGCAACTGCTGAATGTGCAACTCCTGCCCATTTACCTTCTCCCTCCCCAGTATCCACGGGCCCAAACATACTTTCTAGGTGAAGAAACACTTCACCTGCACTTCCCAGAATCTGGTGTACTGCATTCGCTGCTCACAATGTGGTCTCGTCGACATTGGGGAAGCGAAGCGTAGACTGGGTGACCATTTTGCAGAACATCTACGTTCTGCTCGCAAAAAAGACCCTGAGCTTCCAGTTGCCACTTTAACACACCACCCTGTTCCCTGGCCAACATCTCTGTCTCAGGCTTGCTGCAGTGTTCCAGTGAAGCTCAGCGCAAGCTGAAAGAACAACACTTTATTTTCCACTTGGGGACCCTACAGCCCTCTGGACTCAATATTGAGCTCATTAATTTTAGGGCCTGAACTCTCCCGTGTCCTAGCCCCCAACCCACACACCAGGCCTTGTTATCACAGTCTGCCATTACACGCTACCTATTGTCAGTCACTAACAGTTTAAATTAACAGCTATTCACCCTCCCTAGCTAGATCGTTATCCACTCCTTTGTCTATCCAACTATTCTTCTCTCTCTTTGGGCTCTATCCCCACCTATCGTTCACTCCTTACCCCCTCCCCGCACCCTATCTTCTACATATAAACCAACATTTTCCTAGCTACCATCAGTTCTGAGGAAGGGTCACTGGACCTGAAATGTTAATTCTGATTTCTCTTCACAAATGCTGCCGGACAGCAATCTCTATTTTTGTTTGTGGCTGAATTTCCTGTTGTGTTATTTTTGGTTTATTTTCTAATTTATGAGCATATTATTTTAAAACAGGTGTTAAGTGGTTTAAAATAGGACTGAATTGGTGCAGACAGGAATTTATTGAAATAATTCCCAGTTATTGAGGAAGGACAGGAAGCTAAGAAAAGGTGGAGGGATAGATTTGTTATTTAACGATGGTATTAGCATCATAAAGAGATGACCAATGTTTACGAAACCAGGAAATTGTATAATCTCACAGTGAAAGTGCCCCTACACAGTTGCGTCCAGAATATAATTGAATTTTACATTGAGGTTGAGAGGAGTGGATCTGAGAAAATAAGGACAAGTATGCGAAATAAAAGCAGATCTGGGGAAAGTGAATTGGAAAAATAGGTTGAAGGATTGTTCAACAGAGATGCTGTGCTGGACATTGAAGGGGATTTTAGAATCCAGAGAATAGACGCATTGCAATGACTAAGGAAAATTCCAAGGGTTGGAGACACTATTCATGGTTCGCCAGGAATGTTAAATTTAGTATAAAACTTAAAAAAAAAGCATACAATTGTGCACAGATAGATGACAGGTCAGGATGTTTTTCAGGCTGGAGATCCGTGACTAGTCGTGTTCCATAGGGATCCATGCTGGGACCTCTGCCGTTTATGATATATATAAATGACTTTGGTGAGAATGTAGATGGGTGAATAGGTAAGCATGCAGATGATACAAAGATCAGTGGAGTTGTGGACCGTGTAGAAGGTTGTCAAAGGACACAGTAGGATATAGATCAGCTGCAGATATGGGCGAAGAAATGGCAGATGGAGTTTAATCCGGGTAAGTGTGAGGTGCTGCACTTTGGGAGTTCAAATGTTGAGGAAAATTATACAGTTAATGGCAAGACTCTGAACAGCATTCAAGTTTAAAGCTCCCCGAAAGTAGCCACACAAGTAAAGAAGGCATATTGCATGCTTGACTTTATTGATTGGGGAACTGAATCAGGATGGCATGTGGCAGTTTTATAAGACTTTGATTAGGCTACATTTAGAGTATTGCATTAAATTCTGGTCACCACATTTTTTTTTATTTGTTAATGGGATGAAGACATCACTGGCTAGGCAGCATTTATTGCCCATCCCTAATTGCCCAGAGGGCAGTTCAGAGTCAACCACATTGCTGTGAGTCTGGAGTCACATGTAGGCCAGACCAGGTAACGATGGCAGGTTCCTTCCCTAAGGGACATTCATGAACCAGATGAGTTTTTCCTGACAAAGGCAATGACAATCAATTCATGATCATCATTAGATTCTTAATTCAGATTATACTTTTTTTTATTGAATTCAAATTCCACCATCTGCCATGGTAGGATTCGAACCCAGGTCCCCAGAACATTATCTGGGTCTCTGGATTAACAGTCCAGCGATAATATCACTAGGCCATTGCCTCCCCCAGGACAAAGGGTGTGGTGAGTTTAGAGAGGGTGCAGAAGAGGTTTACCAGGATGCTGCCAAGATTACAGGGTCTGAGGTATAAGGAGAGGCTAGAAAAACACAGGTTTTTTTCTCTTAAGTAGTGCAGGCTGAGGGAAGACTTGATAGGGGTCTATAAAATTATGAGGTGCATAGATAGGGTTGATGGTCAGAATCTTTTTCACAAAGTTGAAATGTTAAATACTAGGGGGCATGCATTTTAGGTCGGGGGGAAGTTCAAATAAGATATGAGGGGCAAGTTTTTAAACAGAGTGGTCGGAGTCTGGAATGCACTGCCAGGGGTGGTGGTGGAAGCAGATACAATATAGGGATTTAAGGGACTTTTAGATAAGTACATGGATATGCAAGGAATGGAGCGATATGGGCCAATGGCAGGCAGAAAGAATTAGAGGTAGTAGGAACTGCAGATGCTGAAGAATCCGAGACAACAAGGTGCAGGGCTGGATGAACACAGCAGGCCAAGCAGCATCATAGGAGCAGAGAGGCTGACGTTTCGGGTCTAGACCCTTCATCAGAAAAGGGAAAAGAATTAGTTTCATTTGGTGTTATGTTCGGCACAACATTGCAGGCTAAAAGTCCTGTTCCAGTGCTGTATTGTTCTTTGTTCCATGTTTTAAGATTGTGGGAATTTCTATTAAAATTTTAATAAAGAAATGATAATAGAGTGTATTGGTTATATACTCTGGTCAGAGTTATAAAGTTAGTCTATTGAATGGATCTTGGAAGTTAAGGAGATGAATTGAACAGATATCTCTATCGTTCCTTACTACAGAGAATACAAAGAACATCCCAGAAACAGTCAAGGAAATTGAAAAGAGGGAGGAACCCAGAAAAATCACAAACAGCAGAGAAGTTGTACTGAATACTGAATCAGTTAGGCGTTTGAGAAAAAGAATATGTGGGAAAGGCAGGAACAGGTTATTGAGTTGGATGGTCAACCATGGTCATAATGAATGACAGAACAGGCTCAAAGGGCTGAATGGCCTACTCCTGCTCCTGTTTTGTATGTTTCTATGTTGATATTGATGGTAATAGTTCATTAATTTTATGAAGAGTTTCTGCTTATCCACCTTTTCTGGACTACTGACTTCTTTATTACTGTTTTGCTTGAACCCGTTCCTCAGGTCCTTATTAATATTCAGTGTTATATTCTCCCTCTGCTACAGATCAAAGCAAATGACCGAGTCATCAAGACAGAACAAGGGTTGTTATTACGTAGCATCCAGAAGAAAGATGCTGGGATCTATATTTGCCAGACAGTAGAGCATGGCTTCATGCAGACAGTACTGAAGGTGACACTAGAAATTATTGACACTGAACATTTGGAGGAACTTCTGCATAAAGAGGTTGATTATACTCTGAGGCCCAAGGAGAGTCACAGCATCATTGCTCCAAACCAGAAGCTTTGGTACAGGGACTTCATGCAACTCATTAACCATCCCAACCTCAACACCATGGATGAATTTTGTGAACAGGTTTGGCGGCGTGATCGTCGCCAGAGGAAACAGAGACCAGCGCATACGCCCGTAAACACCAACAAATGGAAACACTTACAGGAAAACAAGAAAGGTAGAAATAGGAGGACCCATGAGTTGGAGAGACCACCGAGAAGTGTCTAACAATATACAACTTAATTCAAACAAAATGCAATACATACATTAACTACTTCATTGCATTATGTTGATGTTTACAAGTATATGGGCTGCTCACCAGATACACAACTGCCATCCATCGTCTTTTTCACCCTCTTCATTATTTTTGGCAATGCAGCATGGTGACTGGAATGCATTTTATAGTTGGACCGGACTTGCTGTTTTAACATCACATGCAACTGACTGAAATCCACCAACTCAATTTCCCCCTCAAAGAAAGTCAATATTTGTTGATGCCAAAATATGTTGTGATGATCACTGAACTGCAGATCAGGTGGGGAAATCTAAGATTGATTTGTAATTCTTTTACCTGCCTGCTGTTGGTCAGAGTACACTGACAATACTCCAGGTGTAGTGAACCCACAGAGATGATCAGAGAGCTTTTGAAGTGCCACATGTCTAATCACCTGTTTGTATATGGTTCTCACTTTGACCAAAAGACAATGGACATGCAGTTCAGACAAATACATCTGCTGATTGAAAGTGGAACCAAAGTCACAAGAGTGGGCAGGCTTTAGATTAAAGAAGATCCGGTTGACTAAGTTGACTGGAATGTTTGCTGTCAGCACAACCTGAAGTGTCAAGAGTGATACCATTCTAATTCAGTCTAAAACAAGACCCCACATGTAAACCTTTACCGAATGTCAATACATTGAGTTATCACTTAATGATTCATGGGAATTAAGGTGCTATTCAATTGTGAAGTAAAAGGCATTGCTCTTTTGAATTTGAAAAGAACTTGAAAATGTTTATTCAGGCATGTCAAAAGGCATTTACAGTGTGTCCTGGTGATGATGCATTTTACAGAAAGTAGTTTTAAAGAATGGTTTAGGAATGGAACCAACCAGTAACGTATTTTATTCTAAATAAGAAAATATTCAACTTCAGTGATGGTCAACAAATCAGTTAATACTGGAGAGTGATGTCATTCTGGGAGAGGAAGCTTTGATTGTCAATAGCTTTCAGTCCAGTAAGTAATAAAAGACCACCAGTTAAATCTTCCAGAAATAACATGAGAAAAACTGTGCGTCTTTAATAATAACTCTTTGCTAAGGTTACAGAATGATGGACCAAATCAAAATTCAAGTTGATCCCAGTGCTGGGTTAAAATAACAATTGTATAGCTGGAAACAGTTGTGGGTTGTGTGATATTCTTTCTCCCAATATAAGTCTTCTCAATGTCAGAAAGACAAATGTACTTCAAAAACAAGAGAAATTGCAAAGCCCCATGCTCCATGTATTAATAATCATTGAATTGAAAAAAAATACTTTGAGCAATGGAGAGGAGACGATGCGATGGTAGCCAACTGTACTTGTCAGTAAATAATACATATTACATTTGAGAGATATTTGAAATAAAAATTATAAAGTTGCTGTAAGTTAAATGTTTAGAACTTTTCTTTTTGACCTGCACAGGTTACATTTAATATCCTTTTAAAACTAGCGCATAACAGTTCAAGCATTTGACTGTTTCACATTAAGGTTGAGAGCCCATGATTATCCATCACTTAGCTCACTTACTACCTCAGTTTTACAAGAGACATCGGTCATTTACCAGTCACCTAACTGGAGGATTACATGAAAGCAAATCTCTCTCTAACTCTCCCTTTTGTTTTCTCAAGAAATATGGGAGGGATGAAAATAAAGTAAAATGTTGCTTGTGTTATTCATTTCAAGGTAGGCAATAGCGCAGCAACATGGTAGCAGACTCTTGGAAATCAAAAGAATAGGTCACTTCTCAAGGGCAGTTAATGAGGGGTGACCAATGTGAGCCTTAGGTGCGACACATACTTTCTATTAAAAAAGAGAAGTCCTGTTCCCTGGAAGATGTATAATTTCCTGAATATGGAGGCTGAGGAAGGGGAAACGAGACCACAAGAAAGCATTTCAACACAATCTCAAAAACAGAAGAGGTGCCACTGAAAGCCACTGCAAAAGTAGTTCACTTTAACATTGTTTGAGAAGACAAAGTGGTTTCCAGAGCTCAAAGCTGTTTAAAATAGCACTCATCATCATCTGAGTTATATTTGAGAATTATCCATTCAGGAGGTGGACAATCTACCTGGAGGGGCTGGATAGTCACCACTCCCCTCAAGATTACAAGCAATACTGAGGCCTGTTAACCAGCGTCTTTCCTCCCAGCGCCAGGTTGCTATAGCTCTGCATAAGCTTCTGAAATATTCAGATCACCACTGTATTCCTCATCTTCTATAGATATTAGCCAGAGCAAAAACTTGTCAGATTCACTGTTAGAATTGAAATTGTTCTGGAATGCTCCAATATGTCAATGTTGGCTCAAATATTTTCTTTATCTTTCCCCAGTTTTGTTTTTACAATGTTCATGTTTGAATTATTTTGTCCTTTTGCAGCAAGTTATATATTACCGTGGGGAGATACCATGGGCTAGACAATGTCATTCTTACAATCCCTTTCCTGATGTACCACAGCTTTGTGCTTGGGTGACAATATTGATTTAACCCTGAAAGGAAATGGCAATGAGAATTAAATGTTTCTGATGGGACTAAACATAACTCCAACAATCCTGCAACAATGCAAATCAGAGAACGAATGTTAAAGAAATGCTAACAATCAATGGACTGATAGTCTAGTGCAGCATTAGTTTCATGGTAATAAATTATTGTTTAAAGGAAAGGTTTACAGACCACAAACAATGAGACAGATATCAGGCTATTTCTTGTGATTTTGATGTGCTTTGGTTGCAGGAAAAATTCAAAGTTTTATGGTCTATTAAAAGGTACTGTGTAAAAAATGATGCATGTGAACGTGCTTTATATATTGGTTTCCTCTAGTAAACTATATTAGACAGTGATCTTTATCATTATTTAGCAATTAGCAATGGTCTGTGTTAAATAGTTCATCATTTTGCTTACCCACTTACCTAGACTGGTGTATATATATTTTTGTTAGACAAAGAGGAACAATATTATGTTTTATTGCAATGGTGATAGTTAGTTTTCATATGTATGTACCAGCTACTATAGTATCTATATAACCTGCCCAGATGAAATGCAAAAGGCTATTTATTTGGCTATTCCTGAAGCAAGAAATGTACACTTCACAGTTATTCAAAGCATGTGTTTCTGGTAGATAGTTGATGAGTTTTTATTTCTCTATTTATCACTGCATTTCTAAGGGGTACCATAAAACTGGAAAGGAATATTATGAAAATGCTGCTGTAAATTATTTCTTTTGGCATGTATTCAATTGTTGAATAAACTTTTCTTTTAAACTATGGAGTTTGCTCGGTTTCTCATTTTGAAGTATTGAGACACAACGTGAAATAATTCTGTAGGTGACCCTTTGGGACCTGCATTTGGTGAGACTTGGCTCAAATTTGCTGATGGCTAGACAGTCATGAAACAGCACAGACTGTCCATGGTGACGAGAGTCTAATAACCAGGTCCCTGGACTTTAGGGGACTCACTGAGTAGAGTCAGGAGGGCCAAGGGCCTGATCCAGAGGCAGCACGTGGCCATTAATTTCTGAGCCTGCCCCGAGAAGGCACTCTGTGGAATTCCCAATGTAACAGACACCAAGGAATGTTGAAGTTTCCAATGGATAGTTCATTACCATATGTAACACTCCCAGAAAACCCCTCAAATTCAGAAACTTTGGATGGTTCTAACTCAGTTAAGTTTAATTGTTATCCAGGAAACATCAGACAACTGGAAACCAAGAAATCTATTGTACCAATTTTCCACTGACAACCTCTCCAAATGTCTGACAGCCAACCCTGGGCCCAACTCTCTTGAACCTGACTCCCATCTTGACCCAGACCACCACCAATGCTTCCGCCACCCAAACTCTAGCCTGATCCCACATCCCAAGACTCAAAATATACCCACCCACCTCCCCAGACCCCGAGTTCTTTAACTCTCTTGACTGTTGGCCCAGACACCTACTACCACTGCTGTCCTTGTCTGGACCCTCAGTGACCCAACGTTTCCCTCTTCCACACTCCTGCTGAGCCCAGTACCCCTCCTCCTACCCACCAGAACTCATACCCTCTCCCTGCCTCCAACAAGCTCTAACCCACTCATTCATTTACCTGGCACCCTACGCACACAGCCACCTGCACTCCACCCACCTGGCAGACTAGAGGGGACATAGCTTTAAATTGAGGGGTGATAGATATAGGACAGATGTCAGAGGTAGGTTCTTTACTCAGAGAGTAGTAAAGGCGTGGAATGCCCTGCCTGCAAAACTAGTAGACTCGCCCACTTTAAGGGCATTTAAATGGTCATTGGATAAACATATGGATGATAATGGAATAGTTTAGGTTAGATGGGCTTCAGATTGGTTTCACAGGTCGGCGCAACATCGAGGGCCGAAGCGCCTGTACTGCGCTGTAATGTTCTATGTTCTATGTACTACGCACGCTACTTACGAATGGGCTCACTGCATTTCTCACTGACCTGGCACTCTAACCAAACACTTACCTGAGAAAATCATCCTTCCCACACAAGGTCTCCCAATGTCTGGCTGTGCAGCTGGACATTTAAATCTCCGAAAATAGTACACAGACCACTGCAAAAAGGAAATAAAAATCAAAAGAACTGTGGATGCTGTAAATCAGAAACAAAAGTAGAGATTGCTGGAAAAGCTCAGCAGATCTGGCAGTGTCAGTGGAGACAAATCAGAGTTAATGTTTTGGGTCGAGTGATCCTTCCTCAGAACAGTTCTGAGGAAAGGTTACTCAACCCACAACATTAACTCTGCAAAAAGGAATAAGGTTTTCACGAAAATTATCTTCACTGCTAGCTTTGTAGATTCCTGGAAAGATTCGTAACATGAGGCCTGTGACCATGCAGCTCCACTCAAAAGATGTCTCAACATAAGCGGATCATTTTTAAGCCAATCGGGATCAGAAATAGTGACTATGATGAAGAAATGAACCACCAGAACATTAATTTGTGTCCACAATGGGTTCAGAGCTTGGAACCAACTCTAACTGTACAAATAAACAGTTTGAACCTGTACATCTCATTTCAAAATTGCTTGCAAGATCTCACTGCATTCTATAAACATGATGCATTTTTTCTAAGTTTAAAATATCTAAAATATGTAAATTTCTGCATGAAATTGATGTTGCAATCGCCAGAATTGAAAATCGTTATCTTACTGTAATTAAAAGAAACAAGACAGATGTTTGTGTGTCTGAGATTGCAGTAACACTGTTAAAGTATCTTAAAACATTGTTAGAAACTTAGATTCACTCTTCAAATGGCAAATAATATAAAAAGGTCTAAATTGAGATTTCATCTCTTAAAAAGTGCAAAGGGTATCCTTGATAAAAACAGTGATATGTTTTTGAGATTTTAACCAGTTGCTTCTATAATAATTCAATTTGAATTTCTCATTGATTTAAACAAATCAGATTTCATCGGTAAGCTCTTGGTTGCTATGAACTTAAGGAAAGATCTTCTGATTGATTACTTCAGTACAGTCTTTTCAGAATATGAATTTGAATCTTTCTCCACTAACGTCACATTCTACATTTTACCCACTATCCGCTTCAGATTTCTCCAACAATTAATAAAGGTCGTATTTACAGAGTATTTAAATCAGTTTCAATTACTAATTAAATTGATACTGAATTGAGAATAAATAGGATTTACGGCTAAATTCACACATCTTTCCAAAAACAGCTGAAGTTGCAATGGGATGAAGACTGGAAGATGGAGTTTAATTTAGATAAATGCAAAGTGTTGTATTTTGCTAAGGCAAACCAGGCAGAACTTACACATATTTCTCTGGAAAATTTCAAACACAGATTTCTGATGAAAGGCTTTATGGAAGAAATAGCCCTACATAAGTACAAACCAACAATACCCAGTCCCACCTACCCCCAAATTACATCCCAGGTCACTACCATCAGCTCAGGAAAATGAACAATTACTGAAAAATTAGGGAATCTTATGAAGCACCTCCCAACCTGTGGAACCTGGGCATCACTGGCTGGACCAGCATTTCTTGCCTGTCCCTAGTTGCCCCTTGAGAAGGTGGTAGTGAGCTGCCTTCTTGAACTGCTGAGGTCCATGTATTGCAGATTGAACTACAATGCTGTGAGAGAGGGGATTCCAGGATTTTGACCCAGTGACACTGAAGGAATGGTGCTGTATTCCCAATTCAGGATGATGAGTGACTCGTAGGAGAATTTGCAAGGGCTGATAATCCCATGAATCTGCTGCTCTCATCCTTCGAGATGGAAGTGGTCGTGGGTTTGCAAGGTGCTTTCTCAGGATCTTTGGTGAATTTCTGCAGTGCATTTTGTAGATTGTACACACTGCTGCTACTGAGTGTCGATGGTGAAGGAAAAGGAGAAAAGAAATTCAAAAAAAGCGAGCTAGCCAATTGGATACAAAATTGGCTTGACAGTAGGAGACCGAGGGTGTTGGTAAAGGGTTGTTTTTCAGACTGGAGGCCTGTGACCAGTGGTGTACCACAAGGATGGGTGCTGGATCCAGTATTGTTTGTCATTTTACATAAACAATTTGGATGAGAATATGGGAAGTTTGTGGATGATGACAAAATTATTGGGATAGTGGACAGTGAAGAAGGTTATCCAAAAGTACCATGGGATCTTGATCAGCTGGACCAATGGGATGAGGACTGGAAGATGGAATTTAATTTAGATAAATGCAAAGTGTTGTATTTTGGTAAGGCAAACCAGGCAGGACTTACACAGTTAATGGTAGGGCCCTGGGGAGTGTTGTCGAGCAGAGAGACCTAGGGGTTCAGGTACATAGTTCCTTGAAAGTAGTGTCCCAGGTAGACAGGGTGGTGAGGAAGGAACTTGGCATGCCCGCCTTTGTTGGACAGAACATTGAGTACAGGAGTTCGGACGCCGTATTGTGGCTGTACAGTACTTTGGTGAGGTCACATTTGGAGTACCACTACAGTTCTGGTCACCCTGCTATAGGAAAGATGTTATTAAACTGGAAAAGGTGCAAGAAAGGATGTTACTGGGACTGGGGAGGGTTGAGCCATAAAGAGAGGCTGAATAAGCTGGGACTTCTTTCCCTGGAGTATTGGAGGACGAGGGATAACCTTATAGAGGTTTATAAAATCATGAGGGGCATGGATAGGGTGAATAAACAAGGTCTTTTCCCCAGGGTAGGGGAGTCCAAAACTAGAGCGGCATAGGTTTAAGGTGAGAGGGGAAAAATTTAAAAAGGACCTGAGGGACAACATTTTCATGCGGAGGATGGTATGTCTGCCAGAGGAAATGGTAGAGGCAAGTACAATTACACCTTTTAAAAGACATTTGAACAGCTACATGATGGGAAAGGTTTAGAAAAATATGGACCAAATGCAAGCAAGTGGGACCAGTTTAGTTTGGGAAATATGTTTGGCACAGACTAGTTGGACAGAAGCGTCTGTTTCAATGCTGTATGACTCTGGCCCCAAGTGCAAGCTACTGCTGGACCTCCTCTGCAGGACTGTGTCTAAGTCTGGGCAGTACTCTCTAGGAAGAATACGAATGTTCTCGAGTTAGTGCAGAATGTTTGCCCAGAATAGTCACAGGGCTGAGGGAGGCTCTGTAGAGAAATTAGAGGAGCTGAAATTGGTCTCTCTAGCACAGGTCTATTTTACAGGGGCACTTCAGACTATCAGGGAGTTTACTGGAGTAAGGTGATGACTGTGTTTTGCAAAGATCAGAGATTGAAAATATTGATAAAAGGTCAAGAAATAAACTGAGAAGAAATTATTTCACTTATAGAGTGGGACCTGAAACCCCACAGGTTGCTAGATGTAGATACCACGGGAATTTAAAAAAAGACAATTAGAGAAATACTAGAAGAAGGGCACTGGAGATCAAGGTGGGGAATGGAACAAACTGGAAAGCACAGACACAAATAGCCTCCATCTATACCACTGGTTTGTGATTCTGAGGAATCAAAATATAATAAATAAGTGGCAGTGTGTTTGCAGTTGAAGTTGAAAGATTAATCTCTGCATTTTGGTATCCTTGCCATAGAGTGAAAGTCATTAACCACTCCAGCCTATTGAATCTATAGTTGGAGCTCCAGATTGACCAAATGGAGTTTTCAGCAACAAAGCATTCCAATCACTCCAAATGGTCTGAGGAATTTGTTTTGAAAATGATCAGAACTCAGAGAAAAGACAATAATGAAAACTATGTGTCAACACGCGGTCATTGAATCTGCTGGCAAGTTTCTCCCTGTTTAATGTGACAAACAGATGGGCTGCTTTATCAGTGCAGGCAAC